CCTGGAAACCTTTTATACCTGGAAAACCTTTAGTCCAAGGATGCTCAGCGAGAGCACAAGGCCTAGGAAGATGAGCCTGCTCTACAACTCTAGGGAACGTCAAAGCTTCATCTGCCGGCCAAAGGAGAGTATTTCCCCCAATATTATTATTATTAGAATTATTTGTATTGTGTCCCACCTGTGAGCCCCACTCGGGGACCCCATTGTGCTTGGCGCTGTACAACACAGAGAGCTGAAAAGATGGTCACTACCCCCAAAGAATGTACAATCTCAGGAATACCCTTAATGACACTCTTGGTGCAGCTAATGCCTGGCCTCTTTGGGTATATCTACACTGCAAGTGCTATAGTGGCCCAGATGTAGCGCTTACAGCTACGCTGCTGGAGTGTAGACACTTACGGCAGTGATGGAAGGGGTTTTCCTGTCATTGTAGTACTTCATTGTTGGAAGTATTCTTCCACTGACTTATTGGTGTCTGCATTGGGGCATAGGTTGGTTTCACTACATCTCTCAGGGGGTGTGAATTTTTCATCCTCCTGAGCGACGTAGGTAGGTTGACCTAAGTTTTAGGTGTAGACCAGGCCTGAAGGTCTTTCTATGGTGAGGTGCATCCTGGCTGCTTATACATCAATAACCCCTAAGGTCTAAGTCATTAGCAACTTTCATCATAGCAATGCAAATGTGGCAACATGTTAAAAGAAATCAGTGTATTGCTCTAGATCTGAATTTTGTGGGTTTGTGTAAATTCTCCAGGTCACCATCGAGATAGTTTTGTTTCTAGGTCAATGGAATGAATTGGGAGGGGGGAGGAAACCCACACGTATGTTAAATATCTCCACACCTGGGAGGTGGTTTAGTGGTGAGGACAGGAAACTGGGAGTCGGAACCTAGAGTCACACTGCACCTCGGTTTCCCCACCTGTAAAATGGGGATTGAGAGTAACACTCACCCCAGCGGTGCTTAATGCCTGTCAAGCACTTTGAGGTCTTGAGTGGAAAGTGCTAGAGAAATGCAAAGCAGCATTGCTATTACCTCCTTAGAAAATCTGTTCAGCAATATACATTAGCCAATCAGCCAGCCAGCATGCCCCAGAGCAATGAGACACAGCTCAAAGCTCTTGACTGGCAAGTACAAGATTGAATCATCCCCAGCACCCAGGCTCCTTTGTGCCTGGCAGAATTATTCTCTTTGCCACGTTCTGGCTAGTTGGGCTCTTCTTTACCAGCTAGTCTCTTCCCTCCTGCCATCACTGCCTCCCTCCCTGAAGATTTGTGCTGATCACCGTTGGGCTGATTCCACCATTTCCATGTTCCTGATTAGGGTGGGGAGTTTGGGATTAATTTTCTGGAGAATTTCAAATGATAAAACTAAGAAATGAATAAAGAGTTTAAAAATTCACCTGACAGTGACCCCTGTAACAGTTGCAATCAGCATGAGGAGAGAAGGGAAGTGGTTTGGGACACAGAGGAAGGTTTCATACAAGGGCTTTAGTCCTTTTTCAGTAATTGGTACAGTTCAGTTTTGGGAAGCTTGGTGTAGATGCTTCCTACAGTGACAGAAGGGGTTTTTCCATCATGGTAGTTAATCCACTTCTCTGAGAGTATGTCTACACTACAAGTGCTACGGCTTACAGCAGCAGTGCAAGGGGGTTTTCCCTCGAGAGGCAGTAACTACGTCAGTGGAAGAATTCTTCCATTGGCCTAGCTGTGTCTACTATGCGGATTTCGTTGACCTAACTGTCGCCCAGGGAGCAAAATTTCTCAGCTGTATGCCTGAGCAATGTAGCTAGGTCAACCTAAATTTTAGATGTAGACCAGGCCCGAGAGACAGTAACTAGGTCAATGAAAGAATTCTTCCATCAACCTAGCCATGTCTACACAGGGGATTGGGTTGACCTACGTATGGCGTTCAGGAGGTGAGTTTTCACAGTCCTGAGTGATATAGCTAGGTTCATCTAAGCGTAGACCAGGCATGGGCAGCGGGTATAATAGGCCAGGGGAGGCTAAGCCTCTCCTAAGCCAGGCCCTGGCCCCATCCATGCTCCACCCTCTCCCCCAAGCCGGCGGGAGCTCAGCTCTGTCCAGAGGCCAGTAGCCCAGCGCTGGGGCCAACACTGGGGGTGGCCGGTGGCCTGTGGCCTGGGGCAGTTCAGTCGTGGCTCCTCCAGCTGCAGAGGCTGGGGGAGCCTGGGGCTCTGGTGGATTGGGGGGGGGGGTAGGGGGGGGGCTTCAGGCAGAAGGGGCGGGACTGCATGACTAGCCTCCCTAAAGGAGGGGGGCCTCATGTGCTGACCATGAGGCAAGGCCTTAGGTAGGGGTGCTCCACACCTCTTAGCATTGTTTTGCCAACCTAACCCCAGTGTACACACCGCTAAGTTGACAGAAGATTGCTTCCCTCGACCTAGCTACTGTCACTCAGGGTGGTGGTATTCTTACAGCGATGAAAAAAACCCCTCCGTCGGCATAGGCTGTGTCTACGTTAACAGGGGGTCTCGCAACAGATTTTTTTGTTGGCCTCAGAGTGTGGCCACCAACTCTTGCTGGTGGCCACTCTGACAATTTTTCCTAAAATACTTAAACAAATAAATATGCATGAGTGTGAAAAATCCACACCTCTGAGCGACGCAGTTATGCCGACCTTAACCCCCCATGTAGACAGCGCTATGTTGACGGGACAGCCTCTCCTGTCAACATAGCTACCACCTCTCGGGGAGGTAGATTAACTAGGAGCATCTTCACTTAAGCGCTACAGCGGCACAGCTACATTGGTGCGGCTGTGCCAATGCAGCGTTTTAAGTGTCGACCTGCCCTTAGTTTGGGCAAGCTGTGGTGTAAATCTACAGTGTGCCAGTGGGCTGCACACTAAGCGTCCATGTGGCCTCTGCTCCTGCACACTAAGCGTCCCTGAGTGCGCGTTGATCTACTCTGCTTTGAAATGAGAGTACATGCAAGTTCCTTAGTGCACTTTCAGCATGTGGCAACAGGATCCCCATGCAGGCTTGTGCAGCTTTCCGCAACCTAAGAACTCACATAGACAAGAAGCTTCTGTGCCTTTTACAGAGCTGAACACACGGTTGATGCTAAAAATATTATTTATAGAGAGGGCCGATGGAGGGGGCACGGGGCCGGGTCTTAGGAGACGTGGTTTCTGTTTCCAGCTCTGCTCGGCGGCCTCGTTTAAGTCACTTCCCCTCTGTGGGTCTCTTTTCCCCCTCTTGCCCTTTGCCTGTCTTGCCTGTGTAGATCCTAAACTCTCTGGGGCAGGGCCTGCCTCTTACTAAGGGCGGATATCGCACCTAACACAGTGGGGCCCAGAGCGCATTTGTGGCCTTTCAGAGCTACCGTAATACCCATAATCTTCCTCGAGAGCAAAAAAGACAGCCTCCTTCCAGCTCAGTGTGTGAGAGCTACTGTAGCAGGAGGCTCCCATCCTTCCAAACAAGGCCCACATTGTGAAGGGTTCCTTGAATGCTTTCCTCTTTCCTTCACTTACTCTCCTCGGTCCTCCCACAACTCACTAAAATGGCCAAAGCTCAATTTTGCCCCCTTTGGCTACTAACATTTCTTTTTCTTTGGTGTCTGCTTCCCCCCCCCCCCATCACGTGCCCACTGCACCCTAGTTGCTGATCCCAGAGTGTAATTAGTTTACATACTGTACAAAGTTTGCTTCATTACAGCTGTCTTGGCATGTTGAATTAATGCAATGCCTTGCTGGAGCTTTGATCCCAGCTCCTAGGCAGCGGGCAGCGCCCTGTTCAAACGATCGCCATTTTCTTCTCTCCCCCTGCCCCCCACAATGCACACTTGGCAACGGCTTTCACTTATTGCATCATTTGTGTTCTTATTTTAGTAGTGTTTGGCCTTAAAAGCCACTAAGTATCCAAATGTACTGCTGATGGGCCACAAGTCACTCTGCAGAGCTTAAAAGAGCATGGTTGTGAAGGGCTGCTGGAGAATGACTTTAAGATGATAGCGGCAATGAGCAGCGCTGCTGAAATGCAGGGGATCAGTCTAGACGATCCACCTTGAATTCTGTCCGTAGTTACTATCACTCACTAAGTACAGTAAATAAAATCAATTCATGGGGAAGCCAGCATGGTGTCTGGAACTTTGCTTGTGAAGGGGGATGAAAGGGGAGGGGATAGAAATAAGCAAACCTCCTCCCTCCCTCTTCCTACAATCCCAGGCCATGGCCTGTGAGAGAGACAAGGTGCCTGAGGTCATATCTTTTAGTGGACCAACTTCAGTTGGCGAAAGAGACAAGCTTTCCAGCTCCACAGAGCTCTTCAGGTCTCCTGTCCTGGAACCAACAGGCTCCAACAACCCCGCAAACCCCAGGCCCTGCTCTCTGTTAGCCCAGAGCTACAAGTGGCACTAGGCGCCCTGAAGGAGGAGAGAGCAGGGCTGTGGAGGATGCTGAGCACCTTAGGGCTTGTTTGCAGGGGAGATTTTCCCCAGCTGTACTGATGTAGAGTTATAGCAGTATAAGCCCCAGTGTGGACGCTCTTATTCCAGTAGAAGTGCCTGTTTCCCGCGGACATAAGCTACATTGGAAAAAGCCACTCTTGAACTGGAAGAAGAGTGTCCATGCCAGCAGGTATATCTCTAGCGGTGTAAATGCACACCAGCCCCTACGAAGACCCCAGAGAGATGGACAGTGCTGAGGGTCCCATAGCTGGGCCCCACCTAACAATGGAAGGTAGCACCCAGCCTGCCCAAGGGGGGGGGTTGAATGGGGGCTTTAGTCGCCTGAGCTTGTGTGTGAGGGGAGAGGAAGGGGCAGCGCAGGCCGAGAGCAAGCGAGCAAGAGGGAAGGGGAAGAGGGGAAGAGGCGGCGGGGCCGGGCAGGGAGAAGGGGGGCGCGGAAAGGGGGAGGGGAGAGAGCCACGGGGGTGGGCGAGGGGAGGCGCCGCGGAGCGTCAGTAGCCGAGGATGCTGCTGCGGGGCTGAGCCGGCCGGCGGAGGGAGGGAGCGGGGCCGGCGAGGGGCGGTGGCAGTGGGGCGGGAGGAGCGGGCTGGGCGCCCCTGGCCCATTGCAGCGGCGGCGCTGGCAGCGGCAGCGCTGCGCTCCGGCTCCCCCCTGCTCCGCAGCGGCTCGGAACCTCGCGGGGCCCCAGCCTCCCTCCGCCGGCAGTGGCAGCTCGGAGCCCCGGGCACCCCCATGCGCTGAGGGAGGCGCCCGCCCCGGGGATGAAGCCGAGCCCGGAGGCCGCCGCCGCGGCTAAGGAGCCGGAGCCCGGGCAGCAGCAGGCGGCGGCGGCGGCGGCGCCCCGGGAGCCCGATGCGCGCTGGAGGGAGAAGGGCGAGGCGGAGGCGGAGCGGCAGCGCACCCGGGAGCGCCTGGAGGCCACGCTGGCCGGGCTGGGCGAGCTGGACTACCTGCGCCAGCGGCAGGAGCTGCTGGTGAAGAGCCTGCTGCTGAGCCCCCCGCCGGGGGCCGCCCCCAGCGCCGCGGGGGCCCGCGGGGAGCCGCCCGGGGAAGGGGACGCCCAGCGCAGCCTGGAGGAGAAGTTCCTGGAGGAGAACATCCTCCTGCTGAGGAAGCAGCTGGTGAGCGGGGCTGGCGAGGGTCCCGGGCTGGGGGGCGCATGGGCGAGGGTCCCGGGATGGGGGACGCGGGATGCGGGGGCGCACGGGCGAGGGTCCCGGCCTGGGGCGCGAGAGTCCGGGTGCCCGGCTGAGTCTGATCTTTCCCGTCGCCTCCTTATTGCTCCGATCGGGGACCCTCTGTAACGGACAGACCCCCTCCGTGTGTCTCTGATCCCCCCCGCCCTTCCCCCTCCCTCTCGGGGGGCTCTGCGGGCTCCTACGGGTGCCGGTGAAACCGGCGAACCCGCCGGGTGTACCTCCTCTGAATTGGTCAGTGCCGGTGTGTGTCTGGGAGGCAGGAGAGCTGCAGACTCCCGGGGCTCACAAAAGCAGCCCGGGCTGCTCACAGCGTGATCAATTGCCCAGCTTCAAATGCGTTTTTTTACCATTAGGTTGAACTGCCTTTCGGGAATAGCCTTCCTAATCCGGTGTCATCCCCTGAGCGCTCCTCACCTTGTCCACATTGCATCTGCTCCGGTTCTTAATTTGAAATGTGAGGCTCAAGTGAAAGCGCTTTGCCTAACGGGGCAAGAATTCCTGACGCGAAAGGAGAAGGCACCTCTTGATTTAGGGAGCCGTGCTTGGTGGAACAAGCAAGCTCGTTTCTGCAAATCCCTCCATGTCCTGTGCTTTTTAAAGCAAAAGAGAGAGCGGGTAGGAAAGACTCAGGACGGTGCTGCAGAAAGCATTTATTCTATTGAATTTCTATCAGAGCTGTGGCCATGGTGTGTCGCTTTCATTAATGTTCAAGTGAGAAGAAAGGCTTGAACTAAAATAATGCATCAGCTGACTCTTACCGTTGATTTTGAGAAATGGGCTTGGAGTAAATATATTTGCATTAGCCATATAAAATAACTAGCAACTAGATACGAAAGAGCCAGAAAAATGTACCTAACTATACTAATCCTGATCATTGCTCAACAGAGCAACTCATAGGCATGAGGTGAGAAGGAGTTTATCCTTGGTTTGCTACAAAAGAAATAGATTCACTCATTTTAAAAAGCCCCTGATGCAACCTAGCGGTGCTCTTCTACTGCCTGATCCACATCCACTGAAGTCAAGGAGTGTGTCTGCTGACTTGAATAAGAGTTGGATTGGGCCCAGAGGCTATCCTGAGACTTTAGTGGGAGCAGTGAGTGCTGTGCAGTTTTCAGGATCAGGCCCTTTAAAATAGGGATGCTTTTGTTGAAAATGCGCTTTGTAGCTTGTGGGGGAAGAGAGAGCTGGACGTGAAACGGCGGATCATTTTTCAATGAAAATAACTCACAGCTGTGCATGGCATTCTTTGTGTCACAGTCATGGTTCAGCATTTGTGCATATTGGCTCTGACCAAGGGAGAGGTTGGATTTTTGATGTTCACTTGCAAATCTTGATTGCTTTTGTAGGTTTTTTCCCATTTGGTTCAGTAAATGTATATAGTAGGGTTATTTCCTTCTAAAAAGGTGATGTGACTATTCAGGAATTATTAGCTGCCAAATGGCCACAGTAAAGTAACAGGAATTATTACTCGGAATTGGGGGTTTGTGGTAACACTTTGATTTGTGCTCTTGACATTCCAAATTTGAACCAGATGCACTATTCCCAATACTACTTTAGAGGGGGGCTGGGTCAGTAGGTGGCGCAGTGAGTTCCCGCTCTAAACCTGTCACCTCTGCAGATCTGGGTTGGATCCAAATCCTAGCTCATGTCAGAAGTGGAAAAAGAACTTGCTTGCCCTTCTGGTCCCAAGTGGTAGTGCATTGTGCTAGTCTGTCTAGCTCAGTGGTTCTCAACCTATTTACCATTGTGGGCCACATCTGCAGCTCTCTATGTGTTATGTGGGCCGCATCCACACAATATATATACTATCTGTATGGCTCTGAGGATGTCACATGGGCTGCAGCTGTGTGCTGATTGGGCCACAGGTTGAGAACCACTGGTCTAGCTTATGCTATTAGCCTTTCAGTCTTGGGCCTGATCCAACACCCATTGAATCCAATGGAAAGGCTCCCCTTGACCTAATGGTTTTGGGATTGGGCCCTTTATGAGCATCTACACTCAGAAACCCATCAGAATACTGCTGGGTGCAATGCAAAAGTGTATGTGCCCGTGTGTATAAAAACTGATGCAACTGGACAGATGATGGATAGATACGGTTGTAGTATATGTGGAGAAACTGATTACACTGACCTTGGGTTAATGAGCTTCTTGCAAAATCATTATTTATTGCCCATTGTATATCATCAAAATTACCTTCATAAATAGCTTAAACAGTCTTATTACAATAATGTAATACAATTGTAATGGGGGAAGAGAAGGGATTACTTTTCCTACTTATTGCATTGTAAAATTAATGAAAGGACCCTGATTCTGGCTCCTGTAATCTTGCCTTATGCTTTAAGAATATAAGAGTATGATGCTCAACAGAATGAGAGAGACTGGAATTAAATGTCTACATTATAGTTCAGTTGAATTTTTATCCTGAACTTCCAGGCAAGATTTCTGTTTTTTGTTTTTTTTAAAGAACTGACATGGAATTTACAAGCTATTATTCTTCAGATGATACTTGTGGCCCATTTGTTCCTGGACAACAAAGGTGACGTGTTGCTTTTCTTGTTTTCCAGAACTGCTTGAGAAGGAGAGATGCTGGTCTATTAAATCAGCTGCAAGAACTAGACAAACAGATAAGTGATCTAAGACTGGATGTAGAAAAGACTTCAGATGAGCACCTTGAGACAGACAGTCGGCCAAGTTCAGGTAAGCCCCATATGCTGCAAAATGGGTCCACCCAGCAATCGGTTATAAAACTGTCCAGAACCTTCAGCAATGTAACAGTTGAAAATGATAAAGGGTCCACAATATGGCAGTCAGTGATGGTACAGTGGGACCAAGAAAAATTCAGCTGCCACTGGAAACATTACTGACTTCATACAAGATATTCGGAGGCAAATGTCAGGACTATTGAGAACATGCTGCACAATCATATGTTTGATTTTCAGAATGTGGGTTTTCTTTTTAATAAAAATAATGCATTAGATGAAGCTTTTTCAGAATGCTTTATTTCTTTTATTGATGGGAATTGGGTTGCAAGAAAAAGTACAGGAAGGAAGCAGCAACAGTGGCTAAGGAGACTTGTAGACGGACTCGTAGCCAAGTAATACTGGTAGAATGGTTGTCAAGAGACCTAATATCCTGTTAAATGAGCTTTGAAGGCAAGTACAGCCAGATTTCTCTTAGCACAATCTGTACAGCTTTTAGTTTCAATTTGGCTTTTAAAAATTGTTTGAGATCAGGAGCGGCGCCAGGGTTTTTGCTGCCCTAGGCGGCAGCGCTCCTCCTCAGTAATCGGCGGCAGCTCCTCCTCTGAAGCTACGTTTTCGGCGGCGGGGGTCCTTCCGCTCCGGGTCTTCGGGGCACTTCGGCGGCGGGTCTAGTGAAGGACCCGCTGCCGAATTTCCGCCGAAGACCCGGAGTGGAAGAAGCCCCTCTGGGCGGGCCTGGTTCCCGGCAGCGTTTCCGCGGCCGCTTTTCTTCCCGCCCAGAGGAATCGCCGCCGAAATGCCGCCCCCCACATCCTGCCGCCCTAGGCGACCACCTAGGGTCGCCTAGTGGAAGCGCCGTCCCTGTTCGAGATATTAATATTTCAAAGGCTAAGTGACATCCCACTGCCTTATTTTCAATAAACAGAAATTGTCCCAGTATTATAGTACTACTGTATAGTACAACTAATCTGGATGATTGAATGAAATAGTATAAATTGTTTGAGATCCAATGAGCCAAAATACACAGAAACTCAATTGCTTTTCTAGGGGAGGGGGAGGGGAATTCTTTTGCATAATGAACAGAACCTAAATAAACCCAAGTTTTTATTTTTATAGGATTTTATGAGCTGAGTGATGGGGCCTCTGGATCACTTTCCAATTCCTCTAACTCAGTCTTCAGTGAGTGTTTATCCAGTTGCCATTCTAGCACCTGTTTTTGCAGCCCTTTGGAGACATCTTTGAATATCTCGGATGGACGCCCAAAATCTGCAGGTACGGTAAAAGCTGGTATAATACATCATATTCCAGCACGTGGCGTTGGCTTATCCGTTGAAATGCTGCATTGGGGCTAGCAGGGTCCTATTAACTCTTCCTTTTTTCATTTGCTAAACTACGTGTTCATATAAAATAATCCAAAAAGACTTTAATGACTGATGTTTTTGTCGCATATGTGTGGCATGGGGTATAGATTTCACCCGCCACTTTTTCAGTCATTGGTGTGAATTGTGGGCACCTATAAACACATGATCAGCTCTGATATTTTCTACCCAGTAGAGGGCAGTGGTACATATACACACAAGCAAATTCATTGTATAACTTCCTATCACTTCGTTTAGGAAACAATTTTTACCAAAGTAAAAAAAAAAAAACCCTGAACCAAATTCATTTACGGGTAGTGCATATTTGTGCCTATGAAAGCGAGCGACTAATAGTTTCCCAGCTCTAACTGCTTTCCTCAGCACATGGACAATGGTGATGAAGTGCGTGCTGAGTTTGTGTGGCCTGGACAAATGGCCATTATGAATAATGGAAAAGGTTTCTCTCTCTTTGGTGAGGGGAAGATGGATGTTTGAATTTCCAGTTACTCTAGTCTAAAGATGTAAATCTCAGTGTGTATGTGTGTTCTAGTTATATATTGAGGCGGGTTACTACAAGATTTCTGTTGCAAGAATCCTCTTATTTGTTGTATAGGTCTGGAAAAGGGTTAAATAGGACCTTGTTTCAGTTTCGATCCTGGAGGCTGCTTACAAACAGACATGTATTACTTGGTGTTCAGAACTTCCATTCTGCAGTGTCCCACTCCCCCCAAGCCTTGGGTTCCTCCCCTCTTCCTCCCGCACGGCCCCCTTTGCCTGACTGGAGCTGCCTTCCCCCCCCCCTCCCCCCAATATAGAAGTCAAACTGCTTATGAGTGAACTTTTGCATTTAGGAATCCAGAGCATAATCATTCAAGTTTGTCTGTCCTAGAAATGAGACTTTGTAGCAATTCTGAGATGTTGAGAGCTTTTCAAATTACCCTCTGACCTGCTTGATGCAATTTAAATTTCCCTATCACCAATCTATAGGTCTTCTTTATCAAGCATGTTTAAAAATAATCCCGCACAAAGATCTACAGCAGATTACATTGCTGGTTTTCATTATACAGAATGGAAATATAAAATCTTAACCAGATTATGGCAATCTAGCCCACTTCCCACAGTGGCATGTTTCAGTGAAGTCTTCTTGACAATTCGCTGTGAATATTAGACTGTAACAGAGAATTTAAGAAATACTGTGATATGACCTACAATAAGTCAGCTGTTCTCTTCAGATCCTGATAGCCCCTTTCTTGCTCTCTGAGCAGCACTTCCTCTCCTATATAGTCCCACTGACATCTATGGGAACTGTGGGGGCTAAGCATGTTTGATAAAATCAGCCCTCTTACTTAGGTGCCTAAATATGGCCTTAGTAAGGCATTCACATTTGAACATTTTGACCTAAGTAACTAGCCTCCGAGGATGTCTCTTGCAGGGCTGGGAATAGAACTCTGTTTCTCAACTCCCACGCCTGTGCTTCAGTCAAAAGAGTCTTTGTCTTTGACATCCCCTCCCCCCAAGAAGATTCTCTTATGAGTGTTCTTCGCATCTTGATCATCTTTTCCTGAACGGAATCTGATCATTTTGAAGCCCTACAAAAGCAATTCCAAGTAAAAACGGTGGAAGTCCATGATCAGCCTGAAGTTCCTAAAGAAAAGGATGGTTAAAATTGCCCTTCAGCCGACTGTTAACAATTTTACTGGTGTAATTTGTTTGTTCCTTCTTGGTTAGTTGTGGGTTTAGCAGTGCAATATATCTTGTAACACACATATCCTCGGGCTTTCTACAGTTCTGTGTCTAGCAGTTCATGTGGAGGCTGTAAAAGTCAACTGTAGAATTCTAGAGGCCTCTGGTACAAAGTGGAAGGCTCTCTAAGGCCAGCTCTACACGGCTTTTGTACCAGTATAACTAAGTTGGTTAGGGGTGTGAATTCCTTTTTTTTTTTTTAACCAGCATAATTATACTGTTACAATTCCTAGAGTGGATACAGTTTTGCTGGTATAAAGGCACCTTATACCAGTATAGCTTATTCCCCTTCCTATACAGGAATATAAGGGCTAGACAACACTACATAGGCTCCGCTGCTCTAGCTATATCAGTATAGCTGAACCAGCAGAGCCTCCTAGTGTGGACATAGCATATGCCAACAGAAGTTTTTCTGCCTGTTTAGCAACACCATCTCCCTCAATGACGTTAGCCAAGCTGTCTGCTGTGGTGTTGTAGCCGTGTTGGTCCCAGGATATTAGAGAGACCAGGTGAATGAGGTAATGTCTTTTATTGGATCACTCTTCTGTCGGCATAGCTGCGTCTACACTGGGGGTTTTGCCGGCATAGCTATGTCACATGGGGAAGTGTTTTTTTTTCCACACCCTGACTGACATAGCTAAGCTCGAAAGCTGGTCTCTCTCACCAACAGAAGTTTGTCCAGTAAAAGACATTACCTCACCCACCTTGTCACTCTAGTAGCTATACCAACAAAACATTATAATGTAGACCTGAGAATAAGCATCTTTATACCGGTATAACTGAATCCACACTAGGAGGATTGTAGAGTTTCAACTATATCGCCCTAGTTAAAGCGGTGTGGGTGTAGACCAGGCCAAAGTCTTCAAAAGTATCTTTGAAAAGACTAAATAAAAGCAGAACTACACAATGGCAGCATCTTTAAACTCTTTTCAAATGCATTTCAGATCTCATAGGCTGGATGGATTATAATAAAGAAGGCCAGCACGAGGACCCGGCATCAGGTGCTGTCTGTCGTTCGCACTCCAATTCCCTTGATGTGGTTGCAGATGTACATCCAAAGTATCAGTGTGACTTAGTATCTAAAAATGGGAATGACGTGTACCGTTACCCCAGTCCCCTACATGCAGTAGCCGTGCAGAGTCCAATGTTTCTTCTACCAGTGACTGGTAATCCCTTGAGAGAAGAAGAGAGACGTGGTTGCAATGTTAATGATGTTTGCATTGGAGCTGAACTAGACTCAGTAAAAACAGGCAATTCCTTTCTCCCGCAGAGCTCATGGTCTGTATCCTGTCCTTCAGCCAACAAAAAAATAGATGGTTACATCTTGAGCCTTGTTCAGAAAAAGACACATTCTGTGAGGACTAACAAACCAAGAACAAGTCTGAATGCTGACCCCACAAAAGGCATTTTGAGACATGGGAGCATGTGTGTTAGACAGACCGCGGCTGTTTCACATACTAACATTGTGAACCTGAAGAATTCCAAACAAGCATGTTTGCATTCCAGTGGAACAACCACTTTGGATAATGGCACCTTCTCGTCATTAAATCAGCGGTCAAAAGAATCTAATGGGGAGCAGCTGGAAAGCAGGAAGGTGCCTACGGCTGCAGCCTACCCACCAAGTGCTGTCAATGAACTTCAAAGCAAACATCTGTCAAGGCACGTCAAACCAGCATCTCAAGAACTAAACTGGTGTCCTGTAGCTACGACAGGGGATATCCCAAAGGAAAATGGCCAGCTCTTTGCTACATCTCCTAAAGAAAGTCCTGGTAGGCATACAGCACTGCAGCAGGAGAATAAAGTGACCCAGCCACCCAAAAAGCTACTGCTAAAAAACCACTTGCAAGCGGCTCACCCCACTTCACTTCCTTTGGAGGAGAGGCCCACGTTGGATTTCAAGAGTGAGGGCTCTTCCTCTCAGAGCCTGGATGAAGGCTTGCTGGTTAGTGCTCAGTACATACCAGCTCAACAGCAAAGCCTTAAGCTTCACAAAGGCACCAAAAGTGTCAAAATTCTGAAGAGCTCTACTCTGAAACACAGGTCCCACCTGGCCAGCCTGCTGGAAAGCAACGCGCCAACCATGCGTGAGAAAACCAAGCCAATTGGCAAAAAGTGTCGTTTCCCTGATGACTTGGATACAAATAAGAAACTTAAAAAGCCCTCTGTGAGAGGGAAGAAAAGCAGCAGTTCACAGCTGGAGCCAAGCCTCCCAAGCAGGCAGACTGGCCTCCATAAAACTGTGATCAAATCTCACGGACATGGCCGAGAAGCAGTTGTGGCCAAACCTAAGCACAAGCGAGGAGATTATCGCCGGTGGAAGTCATCGGCAGAGATTTCCTACGAGGAAGCCCTGAGAAGGGCAAGAAGAAACAGGAGAGAAGCCGTAGGGGTCTATTCACAAGTTCCCCTTCCGTACGTCAGCCCCTACGCTTACATTGCTAGTGACTCCGAGTATTCAGCAGAGTGCGAATCCCTGTTCCACTCCACCGTAGTGGACACCAGTGAAGATGAGCAGAGTAACTACACCACAAACTGCTTTGGGGACAGCGAGTCCAGCTTGAGCGAGGTGGAGTTCGTTGGGGAGAGCACGACGACTAGTGACTCCGATGAAAGCGGGGGGCTTATTTGGTCTCAGTTTGTCCAGACTCTTCCTATCCAAACGGCGGCCGCTCCAGAGCTGCACGAAAATGCAGCAAAGGCCTTTGTCAAAATTAAAGCCTCGCATAACCTCAAGAAGAAAATCCTTCGCTTCCGATCTGGCTCTCTCAAACTGATGACGACTGTCTAATGAAAGGACTTGTCCGCGTGGAACGCGTCTGTTTCTACTTAAAGAAACAAGGTGCTTTTGTGTAAATATTTTCATAGATTTTTTTTTTAATGCAAATATTTAAAACTTAAGGTAAATTATGACATGGCTTCAAATCTTGGGTGGATACTAGTGCCTTTTCATGGAAATAAAAACCATTATATTAGTTTTTTTTAAAACCCTGCCATTTCAGTGGTGACAGCTTCAAGTGCATAGTATCAGAAGGCTTTGAAAAATAATAATGTTCCCAAGAATGGATCTTCCTTGCCTATTCTTTCCAACTCTGGGTCTTGTAATATCAGGAGATCAACAGCTTAAAGTCAGAAGTGGAGGATCCTAATGTTTGTTCTTATCCCTTAATATTTTCTGCTCTTGTTCCTGCATGTTGACCATGTCCCTCCTTTTGTCTGGCTGGATTTTCTCTTGTAAACTCTTCTTCTTGCAACCTCCTCCCCCTCCACGTGTGTGTTTGTACAGTGCCTAGCACAATGGGGTCCGGGTCAACAACTAGGGCCCCTAGGTGCTATGGTAATACAAATAATAGAAAGGGCCCTCGCTTAATCTCCCTCTTGAGTTGCCTTCTCCAAAAGGCACTCTGCTATGGATGACCTCAATGTGCATCCCATGTGTGGGACTCCCACCAGAGTAATACATTGCTCTCCAGAAGAAACCATTGGACCAGCTGGGAAAGGCTCAGTAACTCTTCAGTATATTGTGTAAAAGCGCTTTTTAAAAACATATGCATGTCATGTGCATGAATATCAATAGTTTTAATATTCCTGTCACTGTCAAGTTACTGTACATCACAAACAGCTGTTTTTATATATCCTTGTGTAAATTAATAACACATCATATGCTGTAATAAACAGTCTGTTTTAATACTTTTTTTAAAGTTTGTTACGTTGCTCTAGAACCAGCGGTTGGGACCACCCCACCGCTGCCCCCACACAAAGGTACACGAATGTGGCCATGTGACACTTGCTGCATCTGAACTACACAGTAACTGAGGCGAGTTTGAGGCGTTCCTGTGTTTGGAACGTGTACTTTGAAGTGGGAAAGGAGAGAAATGGGTCAGTCATAGCTCAGGGTGGCTCAATTTTTTCTTTTAATAGTGAGGATTTGTGCGGAGCTGGATGGGATGTAGGCGTCCAGGCATAAACCTTGCTCTGACACCTGTGAGTTTCCTGCCCTGCAACTTTGGCAGTTTAATATTACCACTGCCTGTAGGGGGCTTGCCATATTAATTCTATATAACCAAGTGACAGAAAGATACCAGTCTCCCTGACATACAGCAGGGCCCCCTCCCTGAAAGGACAGGCAATCCACTCCAAAAAAGTCATGTCCACCGGGAGATGGGCTTGCAGGAAGCATGGGGAGCAGCAATTGGTTTTGCTACATGTGTGAACCAGCCACCTGCGACCCTGATCTCCAGGCATGGCAGCCACTGGCTTCTCCCTGTCAGGGTGGTGCTACCCCAGGGAGAGGAACAGAAATAGGAGCTGGCTCGGCACTCTGTCGCTCCTTTTATCAGCCTCTTCCTCCCTTTGGGGTGGAGCTGAATCTCTTGACTGCTCCTGGGAAGCAGTGACTCTGAAAAAGATTTGGGAGTCATGGTGGCCAATCGGCTGAACGTGAGCTCCTGGTGTGACACCCTGGCCAAAAGGGCTAATGAGATCCTGGGATGCATAAAACGGGAATCTCGAGTAGGAGGAGGTGGCGAAACCGTTGCTGGAATACTGTGTCCAGTTCTGATGCCCACAATTCAAGAAGGATGTTGATGAATTGGAGAGGGCTCAGAGAAGAGCCATGAGAATGATTAAAGGGTTAGAAAACCTGCCGTATAGTGGTAGACTCAAAGAGCTCAGTCTATTTGGCTTAACAAATGGGGGGAGGGATAGCTCAGTGGTTTGAGCATTAGCCTGCTAAACCCAGGGTTGTGAGTTCAATCCTTGAGGGGGCCACTTAGGGAGCAGGGGCAAAAATCAGTACTTGGTCCTGCTAGTGAAGGCAGGGGGCTGGACTCGACGACCTTTCGAGGTCTCTTCCAGCTCTATGAGATAGGTATATCTCCATATATTATTTTTAACAAAGAGAAGGTTAACGGTTGAGTGGATCACAGGTTAAAACTATCGACATGGGGAACAAATATATAAAAATGGGCTCTTCAGTCTAGCAGAGAAAGGTCTAACATGATCCAATGGCTGGATGTTGAAGCTAGACACCTTCAGACTGGGAAAAAAGGTGCAAACTTTTACCAGTGAGAGTAATGAACCATTGGAACAATGTACCAAGGGTTGTGGTGGATTCTTCATCACTGACAACTTTTAAATTAAGACAGGATGTTTTTCCAACAGCTGCTGTAGGAATTTTTGGGGGGAAGTTCTATGGCCTGTGGTATGCAGAGGGTCAGACCAGGTGATCACAGTGTTCCCTTCTGGCCTGGGAAGCTGTGACTTGGAGGGAGAGAGGAGCTGGTTCTGAGGCTGCACCGCTTCTCCTCCCCCACAGAGCTGGGAGCGCTGTCCCACTAGGAAGGTAGGAGCCTGTGGCTGCCCTGCCTTCACTGTGAGGGCACAGCCCAAGATGGCCACTAGCAGAATCATTGATTATTAGGGTTGGAAGGGACCTCTGGAGATCATCTAGTCCAACCCCCTGCTCAAAGCAGGATCAATCCCCAACTAAATCCCCAAATGGCCCCCTTAAGGATTGAACTCACAACCCTGGGTTTAGCAGGCCAATGCTCAAACCACTGAGCTATCCCTTCCAAGGGCACATGCTGCTCTGGTATCGGTGTGGTTGTGGGCGCCTCTCCAATCACCCCATGGATGACGGTTGTTCGATCCTGTCCTGGTTGTGTGTGGGTACAGAGGTGGTGCCTGGTTCATCCTTCCCAGTAGCTACTGAAGAGCAGCTTTCCGGCAGCCGGGCTTGTCTCCCCCATGAGGGCTAGGGGGATCCTCTCCGATGCCACAGCAGAGGTTGGGGAGTCTGACTTCTGAGCGGGAAGGTGGTGCTCCCAGGGAACCCTACATTTCGTGGACATCCCCAGTTTTTTAAAATCAAATCAGCTCTATCATGGCTCCTCCCTATTTAAACTACAGAGTCGGGGGGGGGGTGATTGAGGGCCGCCGCCCTTTAGGGTGCTTCATGTTCTTGCACTGTAAGGCTTGGTCTACACTAAACCCCCAAATCGAACTAAGGTACGCAACTTCAGCTACGTGAATAACGTAGCTGAAGTTCGAAGTACCTTAGTTCGAACTTACCTCGGTCCACACGCGGCAGGCAGGCTCCCCCGTCGACTCCGCGGTACTCCTCTTGTCTAGCTGGAGTACCGCAGTCGACGGCGAGCACTTCCTGGTTCGACTTATCGCGTCCAGACCAGACGCGATAAGTCGAACCCAGAACTTCGATTCCCAGCCGCCGAACTAGCGGCTGGGTGTAGACATACCCTAAGATTTGCTTCCAGAGAGTCAGCCTTCTCTGTGAGTTATCCAGAGGTCTTTCCAGCTCTCTTCCCAGACACCCAGCTGACATTGAAAAGGACACTTTCTGGAGTATTGGTTATTTTGGAGATTTACCCTAGAAGAGGAGAGCGCCCTCCTAAGATTAACTGTGTTCCCTGGTGCTGCTTCTAACCGTGCAATCCTGCTGGTTGAATCTGTATATTGCAACCAATCACTGATCCTAACATCACTCCCTTCCGGTTGTTGTTAGGGAGAATGAATTATAACAACAAAAGGTGACAGCTATTAAAATAAGATGGCGAAAAACGTGCTGCTGTACCTAGGTATTTCCTCCCCTTCCCTGCCTGCCATTACTTTGCTCATAAATGAGCAGGTTGCACTAACACCTTTCTACTTTTCAAAATGAGTAACTCCTATTAAAATATTGGGAATTGGCTGCAGCCGGGGGGGGGGGGTTTATATTTCTTTAGACACGGCTTTTATAAGGCGGATTAATGGCTTGATAGGTCCCTTTTCATAGTTTGGGGAAAACTTGCTCAGCCCCGGAGTGCTTCATGAAGCTTGTCAAATCCCGTCTCTGCCAGAATGGCTCTAATCATGCCACACAATCTCTCTGAGCAAGACAAAGATGTGAAAATCCCAATAAATCTTCCAAAAGGTGTGGCGGGCAGTCAACTGAATCTGCAGAGTTCTCTCTGTCCCTGTGGCTATAAGGAACAGCAGTAAGACAAAATGATGGGGAGCTTTTAAATTCTTGCTCCTGTTAAATGCATTGAGATTGTACATGATCACTTGTCAAATGGATGAGGCCACTTTCTAAACGGGAGCTGCTAAGGAATTGCCTTTTCGGTAATTAAAACAACAGCAACCAAATCAAAACAAAACATCACCCGCCAATAACGCTGAGAATGCTGGTAAGCAGCTGCGGCAGCATCCTGTTTTGCACTCCTGGAATTGCTTGTTACTAGACTGGGGAAATCTGCTGATGTTATCTCTGTCTTAATTGCATCTGAGTCATTGCAGTTTGGTGGAGGAATTTTTCTTTCCTTAAAGAAAGGGTTTGAATAAGAAGGGCTCGAAGCTCCTTCGGCTATCTTGAGGTTTTTTGTTTTTTTTTAAAAGATAGGAATCTTGAAATGCTATACAACTACTTGAACTGATCCAAATACTCATTCTATATCCTTCCCCCTGAATCTGATCCTGGAAACACAATTGACAGTAAATGTTTGTAGGCTTGGGCCAAAAAAACCTCTGCTAATCCTGGCAACTACGTAAATAAATGGCACTTCTTTTTAAACCAACTGGCTTCCCTCTCGACCCTCCTGTGTCCTTACCAATGTATCTTTCATAACGTCCATGTTTTAATTATCCTCCCGATTTATATTAGTCTTTGGATGTTCACAGCTGAAATATATTTTCTCTCATTGCACACTGGCTTGTTGTAGGGTGGCTCAGGGTATTTGCTTCTCAGCCCCAATCAAGTAAAGTGACTATGTGTTTAAGTTTAAGCGCATGAGGAGTTCTCTTGACTTCAGTAGGACAATTTGTGCTTAAAGTTAAGCACTTGCTTACATGCTTTGCTGGAGTGGGGCTATGGAGTTTGGGTTTGGGGTGGGGGGAGAAAATCCTACATACAAAGAATGGTGTGAGCTAGATTGTAAGGAGGCGCTGAAATGTGTGTCCTAGTCCTTTAACTATTTAAGGAGAGTAGGGGCCAAACAAACCACAAAACCAAAAGGAATCTTCTGTCTCATCTCAGAACAGGCACAGCCCCTCCTCCCTTCCTGATGGCTTTGCCCATCCTTTCTTCAAACACACTTCTGCCTGTGGTCCTTTGCAATCGTCCCCTAACCTAGGGCTTCTGTGGGAGCCTCTGCTCTTGATAGCCCGCTAGGCTACCTGTCTGGGAGTGGCCCTGCTCCAGGCCTAACCTCAGCAGCCCAACCTGCCTTCTGGAGTTCCCCTCACTCTAAACGGGGCTTTAAAAAGGGTTCCTCATGAGGCCTTGCACCAGTCACAGGTGGGGCTGGATCCATCTCCTCCTGATAGGGCCAGTCACCCAGTAACACACACTATGGGACAGGACAACCAACATCTTCATGAACTCCAGATCTACTTCAAGGTGCTCTCTTTCTGGGTGATGTTATGGAGTAAATAGTTCCTCTAACTAAAAATGAAAAGGTGCTTGGCCATCGCATCTATATGAAATAGAAATGAGATAAGACAGTCCTTACATCTAAGCTGTTTGCACCTCGCACATTGCAGTGAAGAAGCAAGCGCCGACAGCTAAAAGTGAGCCATTGGTGCACAACTCAGTTCCACAGCTCTCTGTAACATAAGATGCATTTCAACAATCAATGCCAAAATTATATCATTTCATACTGTCCCTCTCATCAACGTCAGCTTTGTTTAAAACCCTTCC